TGGTTGAAACCCCTCCAAAATCTCCCCAGATCCCCCTTCCTATTTATCCAAGAAATCCCAAAACCCTAAAATTTCTATTTATTTCATCTCATCTATTCCTTTTTCTTTCTCTCCTCTCTACCCCCGGATCGTACAAATCCAAAATTGTCCACTTTGTCCCTTTTTTGACCATGGCTATTTTCTGCAAGAAATGAAAGGACATAGCCAAGAAAAAATGCTATAATTTCTGTCTCTTTCGCATGCTTTTGACCAATGGTAGGCTCGTCTGGATGACAATGGGGAAGGGAGAGGCCGAAACAAGAATGGGATCTATGAATCCTTTCTCAACTCAAAGCTTTTTACAATGAGATTGGTTGTTTTCATAAATTCAACAATCAAACCCCAAGGACTTCATCTTACTCTCATGGAGGTGAGGATGAATGGGACTCTTGTCATGGCATCAAGATTTTACAGCATCAAAGGAACTATTGTTGTCGATGAGTTTGACGATTTTCCCAATTTGAATGGAATTTGGATAAGCAACGATAAGCAAACTCGTGGGAAAAAAAATAATATTTTATTAAGTAAACCGGCTGTGTGTGGTTAAACATGTGGATTTATGGGTAAATGTATTATTATCCTTTACTCATATCAAATTTTGAATTAATATTTTAGATGACCTAATTCATAACTTGTGAATTGAGTCGAATTTTCAAATTAAATCTAATTTTGCCAAGTTTACTTTTAATATTAACTATAGGATTAAAACTTATAAAAAAAAGCATGTACAAAATGGTGCTCTTGTAAGAGTATGCACAATGTGAAATACTAAAAGAAAGCTTATTTTGATATTATATTATTATAATTAATATTATTTTATATAAATTTATGTTTTTATATATTTAACTCGTAAACAAAACTCTTAACAAAGTATTTCTACTTCAATATATAGAGATTTTTTTAAAATCACACTAATTTTTTTTATTCAACACACATATTGTATATCCAAATAAAATAGTTTTTAAATTAAGAATTAAAACAAAAT